CTTCCTTTCAGCGTGATCCTTACGCTTCCTTTCAGCGTGAATCCCGGGAGTTCAGCTGGGCGGTGCAACCGGAGAGACAGCTAGTCTTCGAGCCCCACGTTGGGCGCCATTTGTTGCACCTTGCGAAAGAACGGACTCAGTCTGGGATGCAGAGTGAGACAACTTTATTCTCAAACCAACTCCTTTTATACCCTTTTAACACAAGTGTTGCAAAGATTACAACCAATCATCATCTTGCGAGCTGTGCAGTTGTGATTATCTTCTTCTCCTTGCTTTGTTCCTCATCTGCTGACAAGACATTCCACATGCGATTGTAGTCCTCCTCCTTTTCCTGCTTTGTTCTTTGCTGATAAGACATTAGTCCTTGCGGGTCAGCCCATCAACCGTGCACTACTAAGGCATTCTTGTGATTAACTATTAACAAGGCATCTATTATCTGTCTACTGACAAGGTACTATGCCTCCACATTAAGCCCCATTCAAGCACAGTAATTCACAACAGAGTGAGGAAAAACCTGTATCTGACACTAATTTTCATTTAGCATTAGGTTCATCAGAGCTTAAGTTCATCTATATTGTGAAGTGGCATTATAAATATTTTTTTACTGTCGTTGGAGTTCAAAAACACATTGGACAGTTTTCTGTTTGCTGTGTTCACATAGTGTGCTGTGACTAGATGGTTAATGCACTTAGTCCAGTTGTTAGCAACACATCCTAAATGACTTCTCTAGACCACTGCAATTTGAACACCTTTTGGGGTTGATGAGTAAAGCACAGCCTCTCTTTCCCCTTCTGTGGAATGAAATGGCTTCTCTCCTGAAGAATGTTCTGTAGCATGCCATAATTTATTTAAACTGTGTTGACAGATTTTCAAAGCCATTTTAGGATCTTGTTGCAAGCTAGCAAAGTCATACTGTGTATCAAGTTCTGGCCTGTGAATTTTGTGATTAGTAGTGGATCACCTATTGCCAAGTTAGTGTATGAGTAAAGAGTATATCAAAGTGCTTCCTAAGGTGAGCAGCAAGCTTGCTATAAAAAGCTATGAATAATAGAGGAAAGGACTAAGAAAAAGCTAAAGCTTTTTATTAACTCAGCAGAAGTAATTGAGTCGCACAGATTTTTTGTTGATGTCATAAAGTTATCTAGCAAGGGAAAAAACAAGCTACAACATTTTAATATCCATTCTTTAGATGGTAGACCTATAAGACCAAAAGTAGAAATAAGTGTATATGGATATATTCTTTGTTCCCATTTTTTATTACTAGCATTTCATGCCTAGAAAAAGACAGGGAGAGAGGTACTTAATAATTATTTAGCAGTTTATTAATAATGGGTATTAATTAGTTGCTGCCGCTACACTGGTCCTTTCTTATGCATAAATTGAGCTGTTCTTACATCCAAGCATGCTCCTGCAGTGTTTTTGGTTAAAGTGTACGATTTATTTTCCCTTTCCTTTTCCTTTTTTCTTCACAGATTGATTTTGAGCAGCTCCAGGAAAACTTGTGTCAGATGGAAAGACGATGCAAAGCATCATGGGATCACCTTAAGGCTATAGCAAAGCATGAAATGAGGCCAACTCTAAAGCAAAAAATGTCCGAGTTCCTTAAGGACTGTGCAGAAAGAATTATAATCCTGAAGATTGTTCATAGAAGAATAATTAACAGGTACAGCAGTAGACTGGTGGTAACCATAACAATATCTTGTAAATGACTTGTTAAAATTATAGATTATGCCATGATAAATATTGTTTTCTTAAGTGTTTAATCTATATTCCAGTGAGCACATCCACCGTAATATAGATAGTGAGTACTTTGACAAAGACACCTAGTTTAGGAAGATCCTCACTTCAGAAAGTTTCAGTGTTTCTGATGAATTACCAGAATCCTGTTATTTATCATATGCATTGTACAAATAAGAAAAATAACCTTTTTTTTTCTTTTACATACATACTGCAACTACGACTGTAGATTTCTCCAAAAAAAAAAAACTTTGTAGTTACATCTAGCTGAGACTGAAAAAAAAACTTATCCTCAAGTATATAGATGTAGTTAAAAGTGGTTGACATGCATTTAAACATTGTATGCTATTGTAAATCATGCAATATAGAAGCAACAGTAAAAGCTGCAAATAGTGCGGAATCTCTGAATGCAACAGAAGTAATAAAACTGTGAATTGAGAGTATCCCAAAATAAAGTACTTGCAAGTTAATATAATTTTATGATCTTTTTTTGTGAAGCAGAAATCATAGAATCATAGAATCATACAATGCGTAAGGTTGGAAGGGACCTCTAGAGATCATCTAGTCCATCCCCCCTGCGCACGCAGGGTCACCTAAAGCACGTGGCACAGGACTGCATCCAAGCGGGTTTTAAAGATCTCCAGAGAAGGAGACTCCACAACCTCTCTGGGCAGCCTGTTCCAGTGCTCTCACTGTTAAAAAAACTTTCCTTAAGTTCCTGTGGAACTTTTGGTGCTTCAGTTTGTGACCATTACTGCTGCCTCATGGTCAGCTTATCCTCCACCATGACACCCAGGTCTTTCTCCGCAGAGCTGCCCTCCAGAAGGTCAGTCCCCAGCCTGTACTGGTGTCTAGGGTTATTCCTCCCCAGGTGCAGAACCTTGCACTTTTCCTTTCTCTGTTTACTAGCCTGTAAATCTGCATTCTTCTTGTCTAGACTTTCCTCAACATCCTAACAGCCTCCTTGAAGTTGCTTAATACAAATAAATAGCATTTAATCTTAATAGATTTTTTCTAGTATAACTGAAATTGCTAATTCGCATGCCAAATCAGTAATATAAAGTAGATGGAGTTCCATAAACATCTTATCTCTTACATCAGCCTGGGAAAATGAGCTGGGATGAAGTTATCATAGACTAGACTTTCATGTTTTTAATTATAAAGCATACCGATGTTACGGAAAGCATCCACCAAATTTTTGTAGCACAAAAGAAATGATGGGAGTTAATAAAATAAAATGGATTCACAGAAATGTTTTTTTTTTTCTAGAAACTAAGAAGAAAGATTTTTTCATGAACTCATTGTTTTTCAGGTTTCACTCATTTTTGTTATTTATGGGCCATCCTCCCTATGCAATACGTGAAGTCAACATCAATAAGTTCTGCAAAATTATTAGTGAATTTGCTCTGGAATACCGCACCACCAGGGAACGAGTTTTGCAGCAAAAACAGAAACGAGCTAACCACAGGGAGAGAAACAAGACCAGAGGGAAAATGATCACAGATGTAAGTGACAAAATTTATCTACCACTGTGTGGCTTTGCAAAACTTGCAAAACTTTCTTTCAGTGAATGTCAGATATGAAACGTGATTTTTCTCTATGATTATTCTGAAGGAGTTCTTCTGCTTAAAAGCTGAAAGTCATTGATTATGGATACTTTTACTGCATACCAGTGCTCAGAATATGAACAAGCCAGGCTTAAGCATCTAAAAAGAACATGTCCTGTTGCACAGGCAGTGCACAAAAGCTTTACAGTAGAGCTTGTGTGTACCTAATCATCAAGAATATTAAAAATAAAGCTAGCAAGTTAAGCTACTAATTGGTGGCATGATTCATATGATGAACCATATGTTTAAGTGACTACGATTGAATATAAAATGTAATTTTAATCACTGTTCTCAAATATTCTAACGTATCTTCTTTAATCATATTATTTTTTATATATCTACATATACAAACACACTTGCATGCCAACACAGTGACCGATATTCTTCTTAACTTTGAAACACAAAGTTGCCAGCTTTATAAGAACAGACTACTTTGGGATTCTGAAATATAACATTCACTTTACGTGCACATTAGATGTTTCCTTGCAAACCTTGCTGACTGTATCCTTGCTATACTGGTAAAATAAGATTAGTTTTCTCTGCGTAGTAAACTTCAAAATAGCCTGTTTTTTTTCATATTTTATTAAGCTGTGATGTAGTCTGACTCAGTCCAAATAAAGTTTTAAGATGTGCCAGTACTTAATAAAAGTTTCCAGCTGTCTCAAAATCCAAATCTGGAGTCTCAGTTAGATGTGAGTGGTTCATCACATATGAAGCTACCCCTGCCTTTGGCATGAAAAGTCCTAAGTTGATTACAATTTTATGGCCAAAAGCTCAGGCAACTTAGGTCTAGGTCTATATATATATATACATATATATATATCAGGCCCAAATTGAGATTGTGTTTAAATCATTGACTCACAATCATTTGTAGATCTGTCTTGACAGTACCTTCTTTAAATTTGGAAATCTGCTTCATCTAGAGGGAATGTTAAACCTGTATTGTTATCATCTCAAAAGATTTTCCTTTTGGTGTAGCCTCATGTTAAGGAAGGGCCTCTGATTTTATGTGACAGGTATAATAAGTCATAAAAATTTTCAAAACTACCTCTGAGGAACTGCGTGTTTTTTCTTCAACTGTTTTACAGTTTTTCTGCAGTATTGAAGAGGAGTTAAAAGATGGCATTAACCAAAAGTACTGGTAAATTAAAAATGTAATTTCCTCAAATAGCTTTAATACTTTACGCTAGTTTAGGTAACACTTTGTGTGTTACTGTATCATCTGTCGAGGAGAGCTGTCCATGGCAGGACTCAGAAAGTTTCTCCGAGTCCTGTGTCTTCACAAAATGTGAAAGAAGAAGGAAGTCTGATCTCCAGACGCTGGGTTCAGGAAACAGAGAGCAATGACCCTTAAAAAAAAAAAAAAAAAGGCAGGATCAGGATTTATGGCTAGTCAGTGAACACTGAAGCCAGAGATGATGGCCATTTTCTGAAAATGTAAGTAAGATAGGGTAAGAAGAGGCAGTTAGTCCTCCCAGGAAGGAGGTAATTCATCAACACAAGGTAATGTTGAGGTTTGACAAGAATTAAATGCCGTCTGACAGCTAGTATTCCACCTAAAATTATCTTCCAAGTCCCCAAAAAGAGAACAATTGCCCCTCACTAACTCATAGTTATATGAAGGCCCTATTATTTTTTTTTAAAAAAAAAGCCTATTGTAATAAAAAAAATTCTTAAACATTCCTCCCAGTAGTTTCTTTAAGGGGACCATATTGCTGCTTTGGAAATTCTTAAAACTGTTTAGCTGTAGTTCAGAAATGTGGCTTCATTTTCAATTCACTGAATTACAGTACATGGTAAAACAGAATTAAAGTTGCATCAGAAAATACTCCTCACAGCTCACTCCTCACAGAAAATACTCCTGTCACAGCTTCCTTTGAGAAGTTCAAAGTCAGATCTACCTCAAGATGAGATTCCAAGTCAGCAGGATGGAAACTATGTGTGTAGAATGGTGAAGAAGAGGAGTTTTATTGTAGTATCATGTCGGCTGTGTTTTGTATCTTTCTGATTTTCTTGATGTTTTATATTTTAATGCATTGGAAAGGGATGGCATATCTGTAATGCATTGACAAGGTGTTGAACTAGTTAGAAAATAACAACTTTAAGAAATTACAGATCTTGACATTGGAAAGAAGCTCCTTGTAAAAAGTAATTTTAGTAAGAAGTAATTATATGGAATCTTGATGTCTGCTTTTAGGGACCTAAAAGGATTGTGCAGAGGCTCCATCCAGAGTCACTAGAACATACATTACTTGATATTTACCTCGCTCTCTCTTTGTAATGGAGTGTCCTTATCATCCTGTTTTTAGCACCTTACAGTCCACTGCTTTCAGAAGAAGCAATAAGACAAAAGACCTAATCAGACCAGTTCTTAACACGAAGGCACCTATCTCTTAATCCTGAGTATACCCTGCAGCCTCGGGAGGTAGAAGGGACTTGGCCCTTTGCATGGAGAACTTCTCCTCACTTTCAGCTTATGTGGCACTGTGAGGAGTATTTTCAGCTTACTATATTCTTTTATCGCTGAGATACTTGTATGTTCTTTAATAGCTGCAATGGCCTGGGGACTGTCAGTTTAACTTTTGAAGAATGCTGTCTCCATAAGACAAGGAGTTGCGGGGAAAACGGGATCCGGTGGAGGGAACAGTGAGTTGCCAGTTTCAGAGGGAAGCTTTATATCCGCCTTTAGCCAGTGATAGCAGTCACTTACTTTAGACACACTAAAAATACCAGCAAGTAAAATAATGAAGAAAAGCAATTGTAGAGATAGAGAATGTTTTTTTTAACAATTTTTAATAATACTAGGTAATATAAGCATTTGTTTCCTAGATTTATGATGCTGTGCTTTCTACAGTGCTTGTGAGTTTCAATTCCAAAATTGCTATGTCATAAAAGTAATATTTTTAAATGGCAAAATCCACTGCTGGCCTAAAGGAAAAAAAGGAAAGGTGGGGGAGGAGAAAGTTTTCTGGAGGATCTCCAGGAATTGTCCCGTGACATCCAATATTGATAGAAGAACCCAGGCACTGTTTTTTTTTCTTAAAAGTAACGGCTTGTGCCTGCAAAAGGTGTTCAGTGCAGGAATATTCTTCCAGTGCTGTTTGGTAATATTTCAACTGTTAGCATTTTCCTAGCTTACTAACATTTCTCAGGGTATTTATAATGATGGAATGAGGAGCAATGAAAAGGTAGAATATACAGACTTGGACAAGAGTAGATTGCCTTTCTGAAAGAAGGAAGTTTGATTCATGAAGTTTTGCTAATGTAGCTTCTGTCCTTCTTGATGGGTATACATGATTGTCCGGACATGGAAATGTGAGCAGGACTGTGAACTACTCCTGTGTGCTGGAGTATCTTTGAGTGTAGAAAGGCAAATGCCCTGGACACTAGCATTAAGAAAGGTCAAGCACAGAGTAGTACATTGGCTTTAACAAAAGCCCACAACCAGTTGCTTCTACCTGGATTAAATGTGGAAAAAGGCTAGCAGCTGTGCCTTTACCTGTTAAAATCTAATTTGGTTATAATGTAATCATATAGCACTTTTGTCTGGAGCGCAGTCTTTGTGTTTTGCATACTCTGCTTTTTCCCTCTACCCTGAATGCCTTTTGCATATTCTTTAGCTTGATCTGTTCCCCTCCTGCCTTTTATTTATTAGAGATCTTTACATATACATTCAAGTACAAGTATGTTCTTGCTTTCTATTCCCCTTTCTTGTTTCTGCCGAATAGTGAACTGTGGCCTTTTTCAAAAGAATTGCTTAGGGGTGTGATTCTCCCCTCCCCAGCCTTGGGGGAGGGAAAAAGCGAATGGATCTTTTCAAAATGCAAAGGGAGCATTCCGGCCCAAGTCTCTCTGCAAAATGTCTGCCCCTGTTCCTGTCAGTGCCACTGTGTCCAAAGGAAAAGTAAGCGTCTCACTCTAAGAATAAAACATACCCTTAAAAAGTAATGTTAATATGCAGCTCAGCACTCTCCCAGCTGATCTTCTTACGGAGATTGTGCCGAAACTAAGATGAGGGCCAAGGTAAATGAGGCTTTCATTTTTAATGAGGAATGTTTCTGGAACAGAATGCACCAATCCTAGGAAAAAGCATCATAATTGAGAGTATTTATTAGTAACACAAGGGAGGAGAGTAGATTTAATGGAACTCTTCTTTTAAAAACAAAACCCACAAATAAAGATGCAGCAGAATTTTTGGATTTGGTTTACACTTCAAAAAAAAATAAAGAAAATTACGGAAACAACTAGCCCTGATATTTGAGAAACTATTTCACTTTGCAAACTTTTCGTGTGGAGTATCTTACAGTGCAATGAAGAATTTCCCAGTTCCCACAACTCTAAATATTTTGATAGTTTGAGTTCATAATTTCTCTCAGAAAAAAATCAGAAAATAATAAAATCTTATCCTAACGGCAGTGACAGCCTGTACTGTGTGCAATGGGATTACTGTTCATTGACTGAAATGAATTAGCAAATTGATTGTCTTAAGATACTTTGTATTTATATGTTCTCCTATAAATGTGTAAGCAATACCACGGTTACCTTTTACTCTGTCATGGTTTGAACATACTGTCCTTCCTAAATCTTGCTGTTTGTCCTTCTCCGCCCTGCCCTGTCTCTTTTGGCAGACCGATGAAGAGGAGGATGTTGAGGTATGGTTCTTTGAAAGAGCATGTTATTCTCATATCTCCTGTGTGCTGTGACATTTAATTTCTAACCCAGTTGGTATAGATTGCTCAGCTCCATCTGCTCTACTGGGCTATGAACCATGGCATTTTTCTAGTTGCTTTTTGGCTCTGTTTTAAGAATACATTTTTACAGTTAGCTTTAACCATTTGCTAAAAGGCTCTCTCAAATAAGGATATGCTGATTTGAGCCTTAATCATTTTAAGTTTCCTCTTTTCCTCAGTGTCTGTTTGCTGAACTGCAAAATATCTCTACTACCCAAAACATGATTGATCTGAATGTTATGGGTATTATCAGTTATTCTGTGTTAAGTATTTCCATGATAACTTCACAGTCAATGTGAAGCTGTTTAAGTCCAAATATTATTATTTTAAAAGGTGTTCAAAAACATCAGGCTGTAGGGACAAAAAGTGAATTATAATGAGTCCATCCTTGCTCTGTGATTTTTGAGAAAGACTCACTGGTCTCCAAAGAGATGAGAAGTAGCAGTTCATGTATTTATCCTAAAGTGCTCCTGAAGATTGAACTATAAAGACTATAATACACCATCTATATATACAATAGAGCAATCAGTTGGTTTGGAAGCACCTCTTGAGCATTGTAATTTTTGGTCGGCATTGGCATTTATTCAATTATCAGACCATAATAAAGATGTGGCATAATACTCAGTGTTTTATAGTGTTAGTCATTTGCTCAGGAGACTCATATTTGGATATTAATTTCCACAAACATTTGAGAATTAAAGAAGTGGAATAAAATTTCTGCCTATAGACCTTCTCCCCTAGTGATGATTTGTGCTATACAGCGTGAGCTGCAGAAATAAAATAACCGAAGTTAATTTTCTTATGACAACATTTAACTAATCTGTGTGAAATCTTGAAATCTAGTATGGGAAAGCATCCTCCTTTATTCTCTAAGATGGATGTTGGTTAGCTACAACCCATTGTAGGCAAAAACTGCATGCACTTCAATAGAAGTTTAATAATTTTCTGTCTTTTAATTTCATGTGTGATACTCTAGTACTTCCACACTTTCCACATCAAAATGTTGCAAGCTAATATGTAATATTAAAAATTTATAAGTGTAGATTTGTGTAAATTATATTTTTTTAAAAAAACTTCTCTTTCAAAAATAAATCTCATCCTAGTATATTAGGCCCAGTGCCTTGTAGGAAGTATTGTTTTCCTACTCAGTTAACTTGCTATTATTTTGAAAAGTCATTATGTTAAGATAGCATCATCCTGTCATTGATTTCCAGATTAAATATTTTCAGTTTGCAGTCTTAACAGTTCTGTGGACTGAATCTAAGCCCTGAAAGTAGGACTGATTCTTTTCTTCCAATTTACCCATCATCTGAAAGAAAGGCATTGAGGTTTGCATGCTTTAACTGACTGGCTTGATTAGCTGACAAGTTAATAAATAATGCTGTTTATCATGTAACAGAAGGATAGGAGGCAGCACACCTTCATTTGTCTGTGCTGGATCTCTAGGAAATAACAAATTGAAAAAGAAAAAAAAATGTATATCAGGTCCTAATGCTGGATTGATATGACTGAAAAAATCAAAGGAATAAAAGTACTGATGTCTGTTTGCTGTTGAGAACCTGCCTTTCTGGTAAATACTATTTTAAATTTGTTTTAGTTTTTCTATAGATAAGAAGAATGGAGTGAAGATAGTCTTTTCTAGGTATAGACTGCTGAAGGAAAAAAGAAAACAGCCTACCCTGCCCACTTTAAAAATACAAAATGTCATATAAACTTTTATTTTGCTGCAAAAACTCTCCTTAGAAAGTGTCAGTTTGTGCTTTGATCTACTTGGCTACCTTTCTAGCTGGATTTCTTCAGTAACTGGTGCCTCCAGTTGTATTGATGTGCTATGTGTTTGCAACTAATTTAACCACTGTTGTGCAGTTGCCTTGGTGACAAATAAATCACAGGGAGGTCGGGCAAGCAAAGAGCAGATACCAAAAGCCGTTTAAGGTTTTGTTTTGTTCTCCTAACTGCTGACTGCAGTTTTTTGTGTTTTGACCATAGAATAATTCAGCTGGATATTTTAGTATTGAGAATTTTGAGTGTATATTTAGTAGTATATTTAAAAAGTACTGTAGTTTATATTTTAGAGCAATTTCAAAGTATTGTGTGTAGCAGTGCAGAAAGGTAAGGGAGGAAAAGGTAGTTTCATAGACCACTTTGACAGCTTTGCCTAGTTACTGCAAGGTGATGATACAGGAAAAAAGAAAATCTTATTTGTGCGAAGTCTCCATTTCAGTGTGGTATCTGAGTATGCTGTTTCAGTGTAGTATCTGAGCCCAGACTAGGCTCAGCCTGGGTTGAAGGTTTCCAAGCAAGTCTTTGCTTTATACCTTATGCTCTTTATGATATTGGATACAAGGTCAAAATTCTCATAAAGCCCCAGCTAAAGTATCTGTTTTTTCCTCTCATTAAGTTTGCTCCTCGATACCACCTTGTTTCTGCTTTATTTCTGCTCAAGGGTGCATAGTGCCAGAGAGGAGACAGTGGGTTTTTTTTTGCTCTTTGGAAAGCATATGTGCTCTACATCAGTCTTTGAGGACAAGGACCTTGCGTTTTTCCATGCAGTTCCTGGTCTGAATGCTGGCCTGTTCTCATTGCCTTTTGTGCTCTGTAGAGCTAAAACCCACCTGAGCCAAGTCACGGCAACTCGATTTTCCTCCTACAGAGTGGCAAGTTCTCCAGCAACTCACCGCTGTCCCAGAGCCAGCCCCAGGGCCTGCAGTACGCCGAGGACGCGGCTGAGCACGAGCACATGAAGGCAGTGCTGAAGACCTCCTCCATCGGCAGGGAGAGCATGGCTGTGCTGGGCGTTCACACGCGGAGCAGAGCCAGCCGAGGTGAGCACTGGGTTTCTACCGTGGGCACCTCTGTTAGGACCCAGTAGCCACGGGGCAGCCCAAAGCCTTGCATACCACGAGAAATGCAGGGAGTCAAAGAGAAGGCGAAAAAAACAGTGATATTTCCATCCTGGAATTGGTGATTTGAGGCATCGAAGCCTTTGTCTGAAGTTGGACATGTTGACTGCAGCCAAGTCAGAGTGAGGGGGCATAAAGAATAAAAGCTTGCAGAAATCCACACTGCCTGCCTGTGAACTTGGCTGTCCTCTAAATCCCCAATTTTTGTTCTTCCTTTTTGATATAAAATCAAAACAGAGTCTACACAGTGTGGTTTTCTTCTTATTGTCAGCAGGAGCAAGTAGAAAGTAGCTACTGGAAATGAAGTAAAGGGGCCTTGCAGCCTTTCAGGAATGGTTAGGGAATGGAAGGGACAGGAAAATGATGGTGAATCTTTGAACCACTCCCCTGCTAAACTGCTGTGCTGCTGGATCAGTGCAGCCAAGGAGCATGCATTTCTGCTGTCCTGACACCTCTTCCTCTGAGACCTGCAGCTGCAGTTTCTAAGTGTCAGCCTTGGTCATTTCTGTAAACTGACACAGATTAATTGTAAACCTAACTTGAGCTGCTGTTTCCAACACCTGATATTCTGACAAAATGTTCGCTGGTACAAACATCCTTGGCAGTGAGGTATCTCCATTTCTTGTTCAGGACATGATTCATTGATATACCTCTTTGTAAGAGCAGCCAGTAAACCACTTCTTTTTTGCTAAATCGTTGTACAGACACTCGGCTAACCTGCCTATTTTCCTTCTTTTGCCTTCCCCTCATACCACATATGTGGTTTCACAAATGATACCTGGAAGATGTTTTTTTGAGTAAAGGTCATGCACCATTTCTGTTCTGGCATTTCATTTCTTTCACATCTGGATATCTTACGTTTTCCTTATTCCTTTGAACACCACTGATAAAGCCTCCAGAGCATCTACTAGTCATAGGGATATTTCTGTGTGCCATTTAGAAAGTTTTAAACCCTGACCCTGCCCAGTTTAGAGGTTTCACAGCCAAGTAGCAAGCCAAGGAGCTTAGGAAGCAAGCCAAGTAGCTGAAGTGCACAGATGAAATAGTTCAAGCTGCTCTGCAACAGACTGAGAAGCTGATGTAATGGTGAAGTGTTCTGATAGTGTCACTCTGTGGTTCCCTGAAGAACAGCAGAGGCAGAAAGCAAGTGCGCCAGACAGAAGCTTGTTTGGAGCATTATCATAGCAGAACCGCTTGTGATGAGAGCCAGGAAAAAAGCAAGGGAATGGGCTGCTAATCAAAGTTATTGTTTACTGACATCAGGGAAGTGATGCAGAGTGGTCTCGGCAGGGATTCTTTTAGCTGTTTGCAATTTTACTATACCCACTCTTTTGCAAAGCTTACTGTCAGTGCTTTCTCTACAGTGCCTTCAACTAGTTCAGAAACGAAGAACGTGCTGACCAGTAGTCCTCAGTGGAGGAATAGAAAGATGCATCTGGCAGAGAGCTCTCTCGAATAAGGAGTGGCAGAGCCTTGGGCTTGGAGATACGGCTCACTTGTTTGTTTGTGGTTTTAACCAAAACTACTTATATAGCTTTTCAGCTTGCCAACAACTCTTGCTTTTCAGCGTGTAACAAAGTACATGCAGTTGTGCCAGGACAGATACAACTTTGTGATGAGACAGTAAATTCTTCATTGTGAAAGGGGCAACAAGACATGTCAAACCATTTCTTTCCTCTTGTCTTGTCCTCTTTGCAAGCCTGTGATAGAGAGGCTTGGAGGTAGATCATTGCTCTGTTTTTGATATGAAGGGCCAGTTTTGCATCAATTTCTCTGACATGTCTTCTAGTCCCTGTGTAATAAGTGCACAAGGTAAAATGGTCATGCATTACTCCATCTATTCCTGGCTCCTAGGCAGATTCTAGCAGAGTGTTGCCAATTGTATGGTCACTGCTAGGACCCTGAGGCTGAGGAGAGTAGAAAGCTATAATTGTATATGAACTCTCCAGTCTCTGCTGATACAGAGGTATTATTTTAAAATGTTTTGCATTAGGCAGTCTTCCACTTTGACCAATTTCAGTCATTTCAGAAATGACTGAATTGCCTATTATTAATTCTACAAAAAGCCAATTGCAAAACCAAAGTGACGCAAGAGCTTTCTGTTTTCCCTCAAATTCGTTTGTTTGCCTTTTCCAGGTCGTATTGATTCATGGAATGCTGGAAACGATGATTCACCAAATGCAACGGATGACGCAGCGGATGAGATCATGGATCGCATTGTAAAGTCTGCCACCCAAGTGCCAAGCCAGCGAGCAGTGCCTAGAGAGAGGAAGCGATCACGAGCAAACAGGAAGTCATGTGAGTATATGGCTTTTTAACTTCTCAGAATAAATATGTGCATATATTTATGTATATTGGTGTATGAACTTGGTCCTTAGAATGGGGGCATGCATTGCTAATACACAGTAGCTTGAGTATGTATTTATCATTGGTATATATGCTTTTTATTATAAATGTTGTTAAATGTTGTTTTCTGCAGTGGTTCACTCTATTCTAGAAAACTTCACCTATCCCTAGCAGTAAGAGAAGAAAAATGTGTTATTGTGCTTTAGAGCTTCTCTGATAATGGGATGTATTTGGAACTGGAAAAGTCAGACCAGGTCTCCCAAATGGAGACTGCTTAATTTCCATAGGGTAGTATGAACTTGCCTAAAAAGTATAGTTATATCAGTAGCTGAATTTATTCATAAAACAAACAGTAACTTGAGAGATTTTCACCTTTTACAATCTTTCTCTGTTGTGCTGTACACCCTCTTTCTGCAGCCCCGAGGACAAAATATTTACTTACTCTGGTGCTATAGGCTGCAAAGTAGTGATAAACTAGGTTAACTTCCCCTAGGAAGGAAAGGCAGCCCATTTATAAGACAGTCTTCCAATAGTTTACTAGAACTACAGGACTGAACTCAGGCACCTGAGTATGTGCAATTTGATTTTGCATTTTAGTAAGCACACTGTTTAAGAGGTGATGTTCTTTCTAGCTTTTTTCCTGATGTGTGGGGACTATCACAATTACTGCAGCAAGGATAAGTACCTGAAGAATGTAAGATTATGATATTTAATGTCATTCACTGTATGTGGCTTTTTGACCAACTTTCATCCATCTTTTTAGCATTTCTGAGAAGTTAGGACAAAGAGGAGACAACAACAGTGAGTGAAAAATCATACAGACCTTCTTTTGTGGAATTGTTCTAGCTGGTGATCAAAAGCATTTGATATAAACAGTAATGGGCTGCTATGAACTAGTGTGTGCTGAAAGCATATTCACTTTCCCCAACATGCTAAGAAAGAAACTTCTGCATGTGCTGAGAATTCAAAGCAAAGTGGACATGCTGTTAGATGAGCCAGGCTTTCAGTAAAGAAAATGAGCTGACACTGGATTGTCCATCTCACTTTCCATGTACTATGCCGAATGTCTTTGCAATATCACCTTCTGCTGCTACCCACTTCCCCACACAGTTGTGGTGCTCCACATAGGTGCTGACTGCCCTAGTTGGCTTGTTCATAGCAAACAAAGCTCCTATGTGTTTGCCTATTTCTGTGGTTTACCCCATGCTGAACTATACATGTTAGCAACACTGTCCTCATGCACACACGCTGAAAAGCTTTATTTCTCTTCTTTACTAGGCACCTTTTTCCCAAGCAAGCACTTGCTGTAGCAAAAGACAACAATGATGTTAATAAAAATACTATATATTTCTCTGTGAAGTTGGCTTTCATACAAGTTTAGTGAAAACATTTAATGAGGATTAGGGATTCAGTAAATGTTTGGTCTGAGACTGATTTCCATTGTAATGAATCATGGTAGAATCCAGTTCTTTTGCTTATTTGTTCTTCAAAATCTGAGTGAGACTCTAAAGTGGATTAAAAGGCATCTTCAAAACAAACATAAAGTTCAGTAGTTTAGCATCCCTTTCAGCTAACGTGCCAAAAAGATGTGTTAAATGAAAGTAACTAAACTGCTTCACTGTGATAATTGATATACCTGGATGATGAATAACTGAGGTATTTTAACTTTAAAATACACTCAACTGGGCTGATAATATGGCACCTGTACATGTTCCAGGAAAAGACAGAGAACAGCTCCTGTAAGTGTATAATCATAAATTAAATGAGGAGAAATATCTTCCTGATAGAAATACAGCACGGGTATTGTATAAATATCATAGAAATTGGATATTAGCACACTTGACTGGTTTAGTTTGGTGGACTCTGTGATATTTATTATCTGTTAAGCAAAGAGACCCTAATGTTTGCTGTGTTAGATTCACCTGGTTCAATCTTTAGGTTTCCATACACATCTTTTGGGTTTTGCTATGGCTTTGATATTCATAGTATTTATGAACATTGAAGTAAAACTCTATTTAAAGAAAGCTTTCACTGTGTGTTGTGTTACATATGTCTTACTGTTTTTAATACAGAACTGAAAATTATAAAGCTGACTTAATCTTTAGCAAAGCTTTTAATGAACCAGCACTGAGTTCTGTGTTTTTAGCTGAATCGGAAACCCAGAATATATATATTTGTTTGCACTGTAAGTATTTCCTGTGATTCAGGCGCAAGGATCTCATGGCAGAGGGATTTGACAGAGAAAGACGAAAATATTGAAGTAAAAGCAAGTGATGCTCAAGACATCTAAAATTAGGAGGCAAAGAGAATCAGGAAAAGATTCAGTAACATTCAAGAAAATTTTAATGGGAGAATGAGATATTTTGACAAGTTCACTTGAATCACTTTACCTTTTGTAGTTGTTGAGCAGCGTAACGGTAGCTGGTATGCAGCAAGCTTAGTTAGATATTAATGATATGGAAGAGTCTGAGGTCTCAAAGCAATCATCAAAACCATAAGTAGTGAGGAATAATAAGGCAGTGAGGAGTCCAGTGAAAGACAGATGGAAACTGCAGCTGCAGTTTTTGGTATAGCATTGAAAACATGAAGGCTCACTAAAAAGTCCAGATAAAACTGAAGGTGACTGGGAACTAGTAGGAAGGAATTTGTTCAGGAGGAACTGAAAGCTACAGAGCTACAGCAAGTCAATGTACACAGTAAGCACATGAAGTCTGAGCTCCTGTGATGATCTGCAGTGAGAGAATTTTATTTCGTGCTAGGCCTTCATACACTGAAGAGTTTTGAAGACAAAGTTACATTTGCAGAAATCAGTGTGCCTACCAGGCACACGAGGCTGCTGTTACTTGTGAGAAAACAACATTACAATTGTACTGCTTCATTAGAAACTCATGAAAAAGCCGCATGATTGAAGGAGACACAGAAACTGAAGTGCTCTGTCACCCCTCGAGGGGATCTTTCAGAGACAGCTCCAAGGCAAATTGCCATGGTGAGCTTGTGCTGTTCTTTCTCTGAGGTCTTTATTATATATGTAAACAATGGACTCCAGCCTCTAGAGATATCAGTTCAGCTTATTTTAAAAGCATAAAATGCAAATTGGATTTGAAAATATGCTCTTTCCATTCTTGAAGATCGAGGGCACAATTTTGTCAGAAAGGTTGCTATAACACTATGGGGAGCTATTCAATTTAGCAAAGAAATAAAAAATATATAATTAGGATTGTCTGGTTCTTCCGTAAGGTTAGGATGACCTTCACAAACGTTGCCATAACAAACAATGAGTGCAAAGGAAAATTGGAATAAGGAAGTTTTAAGAATCCCTGTATTTGATAGTCCACATTCCAATGAATACAATTGCTCAAGCTAATTTTAGCAGCTTGTGGAACATTTTTACAGACTATGCACCACTGGATTTGAGGGAATAAAAATGGAAATATTTGTATGATACACCACTGAGATTTAAGAAAACAAGAGTCAAGAAAGGAGTTTATTTAACACAAAGAGGACTGAATTAAAAGAAAATAATAAAGTAAATGTCGTGTACATATATACGTATATGTACCTATAACCAGAGTTTGCTATGAAGGCAAGAAGTAAGGTAACAGAAGAAATTATTAAAAAATAAAAAATAAAAAAGGAGGGAGGGACTGGTTAGAAAATCGTGTTAGTAAATAAGGTTTTCACACCACAGTCGACCAATATGTGGCAATTGTTTTTATCTGAGAGAGGAAAAAAGAAAAGAGCCATAGCTGCTTTGGGACAACAGAACAAAAAAAAACTAACAGTAGCATCTATAGGATTAAAAGCTTTACTTAAGGACATTTTAATTAAAAAAAAAATCCTCAGTGGTAAACAAATGGGAAATTAATGCTGTTTTCCTTCTTGCTGCAGCTGTTTGTTTAAAACATTCATCTCCTAACATAAAACCATTCTCAGGAGTTCATTATTGTGCACTTGCCATCTCTGTGTTGGTCCCATTGAAACGAATGGGTCTGTGTCAGGAGTGTGACACTACTGCCATGACTGAGGGTCACAGAATTCAAACTCCTGCTTAATAATCATGTATCATCATTGTATGTATGTTACTCGTACTAATTCTAGCACAGGCAGAGCAATATTTGCAAATATTGAGGCCAAACAGAGCTGATCTCAGACCAATGTGGCTGACCATGGAGTAGCTCAGAAAATAAGTTCCTAGAGAAAGTTCTCAGGATTCATTATCTTACTCAGATATTGATTAAAGACACAGGATAGCAAAATCAGACCATCTTACTAGCAGTTACCTTAAAGGAAGGAGGTTTAAACTCAAACTTTCTGGTCTCTTCCTCCTTGGTTATAATTTGTTGGTATTAGCAGCCTTCATATTTGAAACTGTTTCTTGGCTCCCTAGAAGTCAGGTAGCCGTCAGCAAGTGGGGAATCTCAGCATGTTCTTGCCAACAAATAACTGCACGAAGGAAATAGGACTTGGAAGATTATTTGCCTATGTAGTAGTGTTTCCCCCTGAACCTTGAGCTGACTCTTTATGTGTCTGAAGGGTATAACACAATGTAGGATCCAGGTGTGACTCTTATACTCGATGGCGAGTAGCATGTGTTCAGGAGATCATTGTGTTGGATGCTGCCAAGGCCACTGAAAGAGGAAACAGCATAACAAGGAGGCTGTTTTCCTCCGTGTTGTATCTCAGAACATTTATATGTGTGTGCACTCTTAAAATCTGCTGTAGATTTCAGTTAGAGAAATAGGTTTGGAGCAGAAAATAATTGACTGGGAATTTAATCCAATATTTGAATGAGCAGATTTAATACAAAATATTTTCGATGTTTAAAAAAAGAGTCAGGGGAGGATCATAAGGCTCTGTTCTTTTATTAGGTTTTGGCAGCTTAATACCCCATGACTGACCTCTCTGAGATATGGAAACATCTCATAAGGATTCATTTATTTGTGTAATGTCTT